GGCTCCCCCAGGCTCGCCCTGGTCGCCGCCTCCGCGCAGATCGACAGCTTCACGAAGGCCGGCGCGCGCCACGGCGCCCCCGTGCTCGCGGCGGGCGCCGCAGCTCGTCGCCGACCTCGTGGTCGTCGGGGGGGGGGGCAGGGGGAGGAGGAGGAGGAGGAGGAGGAGGAGGAGGAGGAGGAGGAGGAGGAGGAGGAGGAGGACGAGTGCAGACACAAAGCCCATCAACGATACTGCAAGGAGCCCTCTTTCCAAGGTATCTCTTCATAGGCCTCTACGAGGATTCATTTTCACTGAGGAGAGTGCCCCGTTGGCAACACCAGTCTGAAAATTTTGAATTGTACCAGAACACCACTCCTGGGACTTCAGCGCCGTGAATCACCGTTATTTTTGCGTTTGGCGATCCTGAATCGTGCCACGCAACATTCTTAGGACCTCATCACCGCGAATCAACGTGAAAACTTTGAACACGTTGTATATTCTTAAAACTAATGTACGCGGCGCTATGGCGACAGCCAGATTTGGAACAGGAACCGCCTTCCATCCGTGAAATTGTTGAATATCTGTAAGGTTAACGTGCGCGGCGCTGAGGCGAGAGAGCTACAGTGTGAAAACGGCCCGCCCTCCATCCGCGAAGTTGTTGCGTTAAAAAAGCATGCGCGCGGCACTAAAGCGATAGCCACATATTGAAAACCACCTGCCCTACATCCGCGAAACTGCCCTGCAACTATTGTAGTGGCCTTCGGCCAGTGCCGCCGATCCGGGTCGCTCGGGGTTATTCTCCAGACGCAGACATTATGGGCGCACACTCAAACGCACACACGCAGTCACACCACCCAACCCGCGCCGCAGACATGCACACCCACCACCACCAACACACACATACCAGTTAGGAAACGCAAATGCACATACGGCGGGCACACATACAGAGACACACTAGGCGCACGCCAGACACTAGCACGCACAGACATTTGCAGACACGCATCACACACAGACACTCTCACAGAAGACCCTAAAACGTTTGGTTTCTCTGAAAAAGCGCGCTGCGACGGTTTCATTGCCAGCCGCGGAAATCCAATGGTTCTATGCGTCTGCCGGCAGGCCTTGAGCGCGTCTACAGAGGGGCCGCGGAACACACCCCGCATCCGCCGGAAACTCGCACCCCCCCCCCCCCACCCGCCCTTCCCCGGCAGAGCCACCCCGGCAACCCCCCCAGAGGCTGAGGCTCAGCCTCGAGGCTGTAGCTGAGACTCCTTGAAACTCACACGCCGGATCGGCGGATTTGAAAATAATGTGCGCGGCGCTAAGGCGAGAGCCACATTTTGAAAGCGACCCGCCCTCCATACGTGACAGTATTGCAAAAAGTAAGTTTCAGGATCATAAATGGTGAAGAGGTCTCAGGCGCAACGCCCGGCTCGCCCTTTCGACCAGCCTCGGGGTGCGACAGGGATAAGTTCTGTGTGAGGAAATGGGATGGAGGAGGAGGAGGAGGAGAAGGAGGAGGAGGAGGAGGGAAGGAGGATGCGAGGGAGGAGGGGAGGAGAAGGACGAGGGGACTGAGAGGGATGGAGGAAGGAAAGGAAGGAAAAGGACGAAGGGGGAGTCGGGAGGGAGAAGAAGGAAGAGGGTTGAGGCGTCGGGAGGGAGGGGGAGGCGGAGGGAGGGGGGAGGCGAAGGGAGCAGTGAGAAGAGAGGAAAGGGGAGAGAGGGGGAGGGATGGTCCTCCGCCATCCTTCTGTTATTGCCGCTCTCCTGCTCCCCCGTCCTCCTCCTCCTCCGTATCCTCCTCTTGGTCCTCCTCCTTGTCATCCTCCTTGTCCTCCTCCTTGCTCAATGTGCCCAGTCCTTGAGAGACAGATCGCCCTGCCCAGAGGGCGACGGGGGAGGGGCACGCTGACACAATCCATGGGGATGCGCTGGCTCGAACTTAAATCTGGCCTGCGTTTGGCTCCACACGCCTGGCGGGAACGAATATTGCGAAGGCCTTACGGCCGATGCCGCCGACCCTGTAGGCAGCGACGACGAAGACAATGGAGGTGGAGGAGTCAGGCAGAGGAGGACGTGGATCCTCGAGAATAGAGGTTCGAGGCTCTGTGGCCTTGGAGGGGACCTCGTCGCCGCCGTGGCTGGGCGCAGCGCGGAAATCTGAAGCGTTTGGACCGCGGGAGCTCCTGAGACTACATGTTGTGGTTCCGCACGCTTGCTCGCATGTCCGCCTGGGCAGGCACAATATGGGGCGAAGAAGTTCACGAGTGGATCGTGGAGAGAGTCATCGCGCGAGTGGCTTGGCTACCGCAGGTGGCGCGATGTCCGCCTCTACGAGCTCAGCACCAGCCGGTACCCAGGGCTGCAAGCATGATCTCTGCACCCAGTGGGGGAGCGCATCGGCGACGTCGACTTCGTGCGCAACCTCAGTTGGCTCTGCCCAGGCGATCGCAAGCATGGATCAAGGGGGCGTGGATGAGCGACGGGTCCCGTGGGCATGGGAAATCCCGGATTCCCGCAGCCGAACGAGGCGGCACCGGCCGCATTTTGGGGAGGGCACCTCCCCCGATCCATGGATTTGGCGACCGCGGCGACCGCGCGCCAAATCCATGGATCGCTAATCCATGTTTGCGCGCCTCCGGTCTGGGACCCCGAGCAGGCAGCTCTTGCCTTCTGGCAGCCAAGGAGCGAGTACTGCGCCATCGTGCCTGGCGAATC